AATCAGGAGATTAAGTAAGGTGATGTACGGTAGCACATGCGCAGATATGCAGGTAGACGTAATGGAGGAGTGTCTGAGTAGTATAAAGCATGTTGTCGGTGTAAGATCAGTATTTCTGGCAAAGAGATTGCACGCAGTTAAAATCACACGGAGTTGCTGCCTCAGAGAGAAATGGCGCATAATCAATCTGTTAGACGACATCTGGATGCTTTTACCCGAGGTCGAATCATTGGACCTCGTTGTTGGACCTCGAGTTGGAGGAAGGCCGCAGTGTGACAAGTGTGGCTGCAGAGTTCGGAATTGTTCACAGCATCGTTTCACGACTTTGGAGACAATTTTAAACTACAGGAACAGCTATCCGGGGGTTTAGTAGTGGTCGTCCACGAGGAACCACACCCGCAAGATGACCGGTATATTGCCTTACAGGCCAGAAGAAACAGGCGGCAGACAGCGGGAGAAATGGCTAGACACACGACTGGACGACCGATATCGCGTTTTACCGTGGCCAGAAGACTGCACGGTGGTGGTCTGTTTGCACGACGCCCTGTACGGTGTGTACCTCTAACGCCTGCCCATCGGAGAAGGCGTTCTCTGTGATGCCGGGAACACCGGAATTGGAGGGACAATGAATGGGGACGAGTACTCTTTACAGATGAGAGCAGATTCAGTCTGAGCAGCGATTCTCATCGCATACTCACCTGGAGAGAGCGGGGAAGCCGCAATCATCCCTCGAACATCATTGAAAGGGACAGGTATGGAGGTGGCGGTGTTCTCGTTTGAGGAGGCATCATGCTTGGTAGTAGTACAGACCTTCACGTCTTCGACGCAGGTTCAGTCAACGGGACCCGTTATTGTAACGAGATTCTTCTTCCATATCTGCGTCTTTTTAGAGACGCTATGGGTCCGCAGTTTCTTTTCATGGACGACAATGCACCATGTCATCGCACAGTAGCTGCCAAACAGCTCTTAGAGAGTGAGGATATTGAACGTATGGATTGGCCGGCACGATCTCCGGATCTCAATCCCATCGAGCATGTATGGAATTTTCTAGGCAGACGCTTGCAGCTCGTACCTTACCACCAGTAACAATTCCGGAGCTTCGATTGGCGCTGCAAGACGAATGGGCAGCAATGCCTCAACAACTCATTGACACCCTCATTCTCAGCATGGGCAGACGCTGTGAAACCTGCCTAGCAGTCAGGGGAGATCATATCCCCTATTAAAGACCGGATGTTTCTTGAGGGACGTGCATCAGATGGGTCCCATCACAGGGATGTTTCGCCCTTCAGTCGAATTGCGCTCCATGCTATTTTTCAATAAAGCTTCTTTTCTCTTTTAGTAAGTGTTGCTTACATTACTCATGTCCTTACGTATTGGGGATCTTACGGTATTAAATGTGTTGATTTGGAAAGCTTTTGTACAAAGTTATATTGAAAAAACCGTCTCGTGCTTAATTTTTGCACACCAGTGTAATTATAGCCATCAAGCAGATGTGTGTCAGGGGTAAAATCAGTCCAGAATCCGACTCCTAAGGATGAATGTAAAGTTGCTGGTTACGCTTTCCCCCAATTAGTAGATACTGTGGGAAGACGATGTATAGGACGTGCTTGAGCAGTTTATCTCAGTATTTCACTCTTATTGTATTCGCTGTCCCTAACGCACATTTAAGAATACAAATTTTCCTTCCTGCGAGAATAAATAACTCTAAGCATCGATAACAATACACTAGATACGATGGCATGGCGAAAAATTTACACGCTCCTAAACAAACTCCCACAAATTTATTGCCCATCTTAAAGGGAAAGTTTTCCGCATGTGAGTGAGGGGACGTTTCTGAACGTCTCATGTTCTCACGAGTTCGTATTTCTAGGGAAATAGAGTATTGCAAGGTCTGCATATTGTTAAACGAAAACGTTAGGAATTCTATTTTTTCCCTTTGAATTGTGGTTGTTACAAAAAGAAGTACCGGAGCCATGCTCCAGCGCAATTTAAGCACTGTTTAATCTTTCAGAAGATAACGCCGAGTATCCTTTTTTACAGAAAAACGCTGCTATTTCGGTTAGTTGAATGAGCGAAATGTATGAGAATTATGATTTTCTGCGGATGTTCCTTCATGTTTATGCATAGTACCTATTATAAAGGTTTGGTGAACTGTGGCCGATCTGAAAGAAAATGTGGACATATTTATGAAAAGTACTGTTATTCAATGTAACAAACAGATTGCTTTGTTGTTCCGAGTTGAGGGGGAAAAAAAGGAATTTACATCAGCTAATGAATTGCTCATGAAACTATTAGGTGTAATAATTTTTTCCCGAGCTTTTCCCCCAAAAAAAGTATGAGAGGTTTCAAATTTTAACGTCGCATCAGATGGGTTGTTAAGGTTTCTTACAGTTTTTGCTTAGCTCAAAGTCTGCACTTGTACTCACTCCTGCTGACACAACTTTTTTTTTTGTTTGAACTGTATAATTAAGCAACACTTTCTTCCCCTTTACGCCACATTAAATTCAACAGGAAAGTCGCAAAATTTTTAACAGCAGCTTATCTTTACATTCTGTATATTTTTTTCAGTCTTTTCTCAATTCATCATATGACTGTTCAGTTTCCTTAACAAGATGATGTACGCATTTTTTTTTTTTTTTTTTTTTGTGCTTAAAATTTTATAATTTAATCATCATTTTCTTCGTCCACAGCCACATAAAATTCAGCAGCAGAATCACAAAATATGTATAAATAGAATATCTTTAGAATTTCGGATAGAGTGTTCAATGCGGTCATACTTTTTTTATATTTGGTATTTCTTTAAAAATTATACAAGACAATATAGTATTTGGTCGTACTATCTTTTTATGAGGATCCCTAAAAGTAAGTTTCCATTTATCCGAACTTAATGGGAACAAAGTGGGTTAAAACATTACATTTTGTTGCACAGTACGAAGTCCGAGATCCGGACTCTTTAATTCCGGATTTGGGATTTTTCCGGATCAGCAGATTAAATCTAGTAAGATGGCAAGTAGAAATTATAAAATTAAAAACAGGCAATAATAATTTAATGAAATAATGAAGTATTTATAGCCTTAAGGAAATCAAAATTTACAACAACAAAAAAACCCTTTTTATTTATTTGTTTGCTTTATTGAACATTTCTTTCCATGTAAGTTGTTTAATTTGCTTCATTTTCTTGGGATAATGTTTTCTCTTTAACTGTACAATTGTTCAGATAGACATAATTTCTTGTTCAGTTCCATTGTTCAAGGTCCTCTAATTGCCGCGTCGAGAATTCCTTCTAAATTGCCAAACGAAATTTTTTCATTTTCAGCAACCTCTGGACTTAGAAGATACAGATTTTGCAATCATTTAGTTGATCATGATTGGGACATTGTTATCGCAATGCAAAACTTTTGTTATATCATCTTCAATTATTACTTCTCCACATTTCTTTAAAAATTCAGTTAATTGGAAAAATTTCGCTTTTTTTACGATATCAAAATACCCTTCAAATTAGCGGCGATCAGCATAAAGCTTACTTAGTATTCGTTATATACTATTGCTGATTTTGGCGATTAGATATTATTGTTCTGCTAAATTTTGTCTTATTTCTACCTGAGGCTAACGAAGTTCAGCTTGGATTATATTACTCATTTATTACACTTAATGTCCGGTGCAGCCGCAGGTTTAACATACTTCTGGTGCTTATCTGGTGAAGAAAAAGAAAGAAATAAAAAATGTTCTCAATACAAACAGCCCTAAACGCAGTCTTTTGGTCTATGAGTAACATTTACATAATTTATTTTTGCATATAGAAACTTATTAAATTTCTCCTCGCCATCAAATGCAGCAGAGTTAGCTGAAGTCTGTAATCGTCGTCAAACGCTATGTCAACAAGAAAGAATACCTCGCTCTTTTGCATTAAATTACTAATTAAAAAAAAAAAAAAAAAACACACACACACTTAGACACGGCTGCAGGCGTCATTTCTCAAGCTGCAGAATGTTCAGAGGCAAAAAATAATACGTAATGATTTGTCAAGTTGGTATTGGTGCCGAAGTGAAATTAAGAATCGGGACTCTGCACAGCGTAAAGCAATATATATAGTGAATAATGGCTAGTTATCTTTATAAAGCACTCCCTCAAAACATCCTTTTTCTCAAGCAGTCAGCCTTTTTTGCCATAATCATCTACTTTCTAGCTGCTCCTTTTACTGATAATTGCTACATAGTATAATTAAGTTAAATAACAAGTAATCAACAAACACATTCATAATATTTTTAAGGCTATTTAACTGATACAAAACTTCGAAAGCTGCTTAGGAAATTAAACAAACTGAAACTTCTCTCTTCGAACTGCTTAAGGAATCACATGCTAGTCTACATAAAAATCGAAAAAATCATAAAATATAAAAATAAATATATTAAAAAAATAAAAATAAATTATACTTCATGAATATATAAATTATATAATGTAAATGGGTTTGATTTAAATTAGAGTTACATATCAGTTAATTGATCAATTGATTAATTAATGGAAATTGTAGAACCAACGGCGCAAACAAGGTTTTGTTGAATGAACTGGAAGGTTTTCAGGTGTTATCCCATCAACCGTAAATGTGGCTTACATGTTGCATTGCCCTTTTTTATCTGTTTTAAAATAAAACCATATATGCACACTTTTTTTTAATGCCAGGATGCCATGAACTTTCAAATTACTAAACTGCATGCTATTTTGTAAAAGGGATTCCAATTTTAATTACTTTTTCAAAATGTGAGGGAAATGTAGCTTTCAGCATTACTTCAGATAACTATTACCTGTTTTATATCCCTTTGATACATACAGAATGATGCAATATAACTTAACTTTGCATAAAAATTTTATTTATAATCTAAGCCAATCTTATTTTAGAACTGTAATCTTGAACAATTTAAATTTATAATTAAAACTGTGGGTTAATAAATACAACAGAAATTCACAATTAAATGTATAGTCATACATCATTCACTAAAAAATTCAGAGTAAGAAAAACTGATTTTTAATATCTTTGCCTTTAAAATGGTTCCACTGTTACTGATTGCATCTGTACATAATGCACTACATTGTAAAATTTTTGTTTTAACATCAAAAGCACGGATATTGCACTCTTTGACAATTTTAAAATCACAATACAGTTTTTTTAAAAATGTGTAGAAACATAACGGTATGCAACAACATGTTGCAAGAATTAACTAACATAGGGTTTTAAGCTAGATTTTGCTCCCTACTGCCAAGTTTTCAACAATGAAAATTTATTTATATATACATATAATTCAAATGTCCTACAGTAATTGAAAAACTCAGAACATGATCAGAAACTATTTCTCAATGTACAAAAAATTTACACTACAGCACCATGCATTTAAATACAAATATAAAAGATAAAAAAAAATAATAAAAAATTACACACACACAGAAATCAACAAGGAAAGGGAACCTAAAGATAAGTGTATAGTAGAAAGGAATGTAAAGGTTTAGAAAATTGGATCCTAAAAAAATATGGCATATTTTGAGATGACATTTCAAAACAGAAAAACTGAATGGGTTTGGAAGTAAAATTATACAAAAATTGAGGTACATAAAGAATTTATGTAAACAGAGCAACACATGAAAGAGAAAATATAATAAAATACAACAGAAGAATTATCACATTACTTATTTTTCATACACTAATCGCAATTAATAACTGATACATTTAGTTTGCACATGCAGTTGTGCTAGAAATTATGACTAAAGAAACCTGAGCAAAGCTAAATTTACACAGTTCTCATTATTTACGATGTATCAAATGCCCTTTAAAAGTTTGCTCTTCTCTTCCTCCGGTCTATAAATTATAGCTACAAGTTTCAAAATTTGCTTTTAATTATGCATATTTGAAAAGTTTACATATCACAATAGAGCGAGGAAATATTTAACAAAATGTTTTGCATTTAATATTTATTTAATATTAAAATCACAGATTACAAAAATTAGGAGAAAAAATTATTGATAAGTGAATATTAACAGGCAGAATTCTGTAATCTGCTCAGATTCCAAATTCTACTTAATAAAGAAACTTACTGTTTATGTGCTTATTTTTAACCAGTACTACGATTTTAAACTTAATAAATAATACCTTTAAGGGGAGAAAAATAATATTTTTTAAGAATATCACATTACATTTTAATAATTTCATATCTGAGTATATCCAGGAAACAAAATATCAATCCATGAAACAAGTTTTAAAAAAATTAAATTTTTCTGCATAAATTTTGATAATTAAAAAACATGGAAATTATACATGCACACAAAGCTATGTTTTTGATATGTGCTACAGAGACCTGAAATATTTACTGCTCAATACTATCATTAAACCCTTAAACTTTCTTTATACATCTCACAATCAAACAGTTTTAATGGTTTATCTTTATCAACAAATGATTTTGATGTATCATGGAAAGACAAGGCATAACAATCAACTTAAACAATATACAAATTGTACACATGAGTTTGTACAGTACAAAATTCATTTGATCTCTAAACTAATTTCTTACTATGCTCAAATGCAACAGCTATATACAAAGTGAAGTTTAATCCACACTTTAAAATGCAAAAACACTTCACTGACAAATTTACATAAAAGAACATAGGATGTGCAAGCTTAACCGCAAAACCTAGTAAGGGATACCTAATAGACAATTTTTATAAAAATCTAAATAGAAATATATAAAAGATAACAGGTATATTTCTAGTATAACCTACATAAAATGCTTCAATGTACAGAATCAAAAAGAAAAATTACAATATAAAATTTTAATCACTCTCTCTATATATACATATGTATATGTGTGTTTATTTTTGTAGACTTTTATCATTCTATGTATAAAAGCATTAGGTAATTATTAATAAAGCATTCTCCTTAATGAATAGTTAATGTGATGTTCTCTTTGAATTATTATCTTGTATATTTTCTTTAACTGATTACTCATTTACATGCATTCTAAATTATACATCTGAATAACAAAGAAGAATATTACACAGGTAAATATGAAGTGAGAACAAAAGAAGACACATTTCTTAAGTAAGTGACCAATAGCTTGAAATATTATGAAACAAACTAATGGAGTATTTCTAATGACCAATAAAGAAACACATGCAAAAAACTACAAGCCTTATTTTAAGCAAGCATTTGAAATCAAAACTACGAAAGATGATGTGGTATAGTGGTTTTTATCTTTCTTTTAAGTAGCTTATTACATTTAAATAAAACAGATTTAAAAGTGACAAAAAACCAATAAAAATTTGCAACTGTTATAAAATAAACCTGAACTAACGACATTTAAGAATACTGCATTGCAAAATTTTAACAGGGGAAAAAAATTATTTGATATAAATGTTTCACATATAACTTAAAAGATAACATAACTTTGTTCTTTGTTTGTACAAATATGACAAAAATGTGCTTTGTTGAAAGCATAACCAATGAATGTTTCTGAATGGAAGATCAACTTGCACATTCTATTTCAGTGAAATAAATTATCTACAATATTCAAAGGGTAGAAAAATCACATGACAGAGTAATTTTTATGTATGCTGTTCAATGGAAAAAAAAAAAAAAAAAATGAAATTTCAGAGCCATCACAGATAATCATTTACACATGTATAACATCTTCCATGGTATCCAACTCAACAGTCTGCTGAACATCAGTAGTAATATTAGCATAGTTGGAAGTATTGGCACTTGCACTAGACAGTGGACTTGGATTCTTTGACAACCCACACAAATAAGATTGTTCTTTATTTCCATTTAAAAGCATATCATTAAATTCCACGCTGGAATGTTCTGTCAGTGAATATGTCAATTTCAGACGTGACATATCTAAAATTTAAAAAAAAAAAAAAAAAAAAAAAAAAAAAAAAAAAAAAAAAAAAAAAGATAAATATTTCCAAAGACTATGCTTTCATTAATAGAAAATCATTAAAAACTATTGTTTTGAAAATCCAAAACATTTTTAATATATCATCATCATCATCAACAACAACAAAAAAGATAACACAACTTATCATGTTCTAAAAGTTTAACAGATGATTTTCGCAAATACATAATATTATTGAACAAAGACAGCTTCATTCAGATAAACTGCACCTCTCTCAAGTATATGGGTACTAATTTGTTGCTCTAATACCTCCTCACAAAAGTAGCAGTCACAAATGAGCAAATCAGATGCGTCATGTTTTATGAGCATAAAAAAGGTAATTAGGGCAGCAAATACTGTAAAAGTTAATGGTAAAAAGGATTGAGAATAAAATGCCATGGAGAAAACAATACAAGGAAAAAAACCAGGACTAGGCCAGGTACACAGCATACTGACAAATGAAAATATTATTGCAGTAAAAGAACTTGTGAAGGAAAAGATGTGTATTAATAAGGAAATATCAGCCATTTTGGATATTAGTCTTGGCTGATCATACATCCATGATGTGTTGCAATTCAACTAAGTATTTGTGAGATGTGCCAGATCAACTTACTGCTCAATGCCAGTGAGAATCTTCTGCATTATTCTCAGCTAAAAAATAATGGATTTCTAAAAAGAATTTTTATAGGATATAAAGACTGGGTGAACTATCACCAATCTAAAACAAAATGACTGTGTAAAGAATTCTCAAACACAACCATCAGCAGAAAAACTCATACTCAGTTTCTTCTGATACATAAATGAAATAATTTTGGAACATTAGATGGAAAAGGAAGTAACAGTGGCCTGTACTTCTTGTGCAGATCTACTCTTAAATCACCCTTGCCCTACAATCCTGAGTAAATGACATGGACATTGTTACAGCAAGATAATGCCCAATCACATATTACTTGTTTAGCACTTGCTATAATCCTGGATACAAAATCTGAATGTTGTTACAAACCCACTAACCTTGCCCTCAGTACCTTTCATGTATTTACATGTGATTTGATGACAAAGCACTGTATGTCACAGAAACTATGCAAAAAAATTATGAATATATAATTTTTCCACATTTCCTCTTAATAAATAATTAAGGTTCGCATTTAAATCAGCCTCATATATTCACCACATCCATATTGGAGGATTCAATGAAATAAATCTCTTTGTTCTGATTGGGCTTTTTGCTTTAGAATAATCTTCTTAGGAATTAAAGGTATTCCTCTCGTACACATTTGTCATGTGGAATTAGCAGATCCATCTAACAAATGGAAAAGTCTTGGGTTCAAATCCAAGGAAGAGCACAGTTGATATTTCAAAATTTCTCACTTAACCTTTTGAGGCCGGGGCTTTGGTAGCAGTAAAAGCTACCAAAGGACGGGGAATCTTGAACCGAATGCTTTTCCCCCTTTAAGAAATCACCTCCTATTTGCAATAAAGATTCTTGTGTGTAGTTTAATGGATTCTCAGAGGGGTGCATCTATGTCGCAAAAGGAAGACCTTTGAAAGAGACAAGTGATTAAAACCCCTGGGACGTCAAATTTGACATTTCACCCTACTTTTCAGCCTGGAAAATGGTGGAAAAAGACATAGCCACTAAAGTGGACAACCTCGTCTTTTCAAAGAGAGGACTCTATGGCCACTATAATGGCCATCCCATCTTCAAAAGGTTAAAAAAAGGGAAGGGGGATTGTTGATTCTAAAATATTACCCAAATTAAAATGTGGCAAACAACAATTCATCATCAGCTTGATTTGAGAATCTAAAAATTATAGTTTACAATGGAAAGATTCAGAATCTTGTCCATGTGAATGAAAAAAAATCACAGCATAAATTAAGATTCACATTATTATTGATTAGCATTATTCCTATTTTTACCAAAACAAACACAGAAAATGAAACACTGTAATGTTTCTGAAAATCTGTTAGCAGTTAACTGCAGCATTAAGCAATAAAAGTATTTCAGAGAATATCCCATATTGTCTACTAGCTATTAACTACCACTAACTTCCTCATTACTTTTGAAATTTTTACATTTTGTTACTATTTACAACTTTACAGTAAATGCATTATTGCAGTTTTTTTAGTCTACAAGAATACCAACTAATATGACTATATTGTAATAAGACTTCTCCTATAAAAATAAAAAACTTAATAAATTATTCGAAAATCATTTAATAAATAAAAATCTTAACTACAAAAGTTTACTGCATGAACTTACTGAATATTCAATGAGCGTCAAGTCCAAGCAGCTTTAAACAAATATTTACAGAAATAATTAGGTGCAAATATTAGACAAGAATCCAACACATATATATAATCAAAAATTAATATAGCTTATGTAATACTATTAGACAATGCTTTTATATCAAAATAGAACTGCTAGACATAGGACATGCAGTCAAACTAACTGTCTGACAGGTTTCACATAAAAACATTCATATGCAAGATTAAAAAACTGTGCATGTACTATATTCAGCTCAGTGTTGACAATTAATGAGAGGAGACAGTTAAAAAATAATATGATATGTATAAAACATATCCTCCATGGTTCGAGCACATTTCTGCATATGGATAATAAGTACTTTTAAGGAATTTTAAGGACTATTAATGGAAAACATTAAGGACCCATCAACAAATGGGAACTGAATAAATTCAATTAGAGATATTTGCTATGCCTGAGCTTTACTTTTGTAATACCACCTAAAAATAAAATAGATTCACAAGTAGAATGCATTATTATTAAACAATTTAATAAACATAATTATAAAACAAATTTAGAATAAAATCAGGTTTATAAAATTTATCAGGTAGCATTAAATATTTTACCCTTATAATAGTTGGACATATCTGAAAGAAGATAAGAGACGTTTTATTTACGTTTTAATAACAGTTAGCTTTATGTGGACTTTTAATTTTATATCAGGTACTTGCTCAGTTTAGAGGTTTAGTAAATAGCAGGTAGATTTTATATCAAACAGCATAGGTTAAAATGAGGAATAAAATCCTAATTATGATTTGTTACAGAAGACTGGCTGTTGCCACCACTGCTGATTGCCTAGAGAGAGGCCTGCTGATCGAAACAAACCTGAAAGCTTGATGCAGGCACAGCTGGCAAGTTATGAAAGTTAGTTGCACGCAGTTAGTGTCAAAACTTCACGTACAGTTCCTGGAGTTGTAATTAATCCAGTTAATATATTTTAAGATTCCAGTAGGCCACTAAACTACCAGAGGTGATAAGTTGTTTTGTACTACTTTTAGTCTCACCAGATGAAAAAAATTAAGTTTTACATTAATTTTTACATTTTTGCACTGTACCTTGCGACCACGATAAAGATTAATGAAAGGCAATAACACATTTTAATATGCAGAGATAACTTCAAGGGTGACTAGTTAGCTACAAGTAATTAAATTAGCTACTTAGATACCCTTAGTCATTATAGATTTACATGGCCACTATTAAATTTATTTTTTAAAAATATCTTAAAAAACACTATTAAAATCACAATCTATTAACATATCACAGTTGAAAATACATATAACTTATGACACTGATTCTTAAATGACATTAAGGTAACTACACATTAAAAGCTACAAAATATTTATGTTTTGTAGCAAGAACACTCAACAAAACATTTACACATTTTTTAAATTTGAAGCTTATCCAGACATTCTGGGTAATTTATATCAATTTCCTTATCTTTAAGCATCTTTTCTAACAATTAGAAATTTGTTTCATTATGCAAACCAATATTCCCACTAGTTTCTGCATGTTTCATCTCCTAATTTGTCAATCTCTCGATTATGTACCTATGAGGTTTCACTTGATCTGATAAAAGTTAAATAATCCCAAACCCCTGGCAGACGTGGAGTAAATTATTGCTATATCTGAAAGTAGTTACAAAGTGAGATAAAGGTTTAAATAAATCTCTTATTTAAAAAGACCTTAGATTATAAAGGCACACTCATATGTTAGCAAAATCAATTACAGCTTATGGTGATCCAATTAAACAGGAACAGTTAAATTCAAACAAAAAATTTGGACTAGTAGTCCAAGACTACACAATTTAATTTTAATCTACACTGGCTCAGTATCACATCGTAACAAACTCATAATGTATCGTAACAAATAGTTATCGTGTAACAAATTCAGATATCGGCAGCGCTAATGTAAAGACGAAAAATTACAAATTACCAGACTGATAGGAACTAATGCAGCGTGCAAGCGGGGACAGAAACAAATTCTGTCTTACAACTCCCAAAACCTTAGTTTAAAATTATCTAAGTGATTTTCATTTTGGTGAGGGAATGGAAAATTACAAACAACAACTTAATTTACATAATAATAACTGTACATATCTTTGAAGAATAATTCTCTTTCTTTTTATGCATTTGGCTTCTTTCTTCAATACGTTTCCTCTTCATTTTAGAATTTTTGGATTTAATTAAAGATTTGTTATTCTAAAAAACTAAATGCATTTAGAATGTATAGGAAAAGTTTTTAACTTGATTTCTTTAGTAATATGAAAATTCAGAATAAATATGAAATGATACATGAAAAGGGCTGGTTATACAGCTGGTGTAGCAGAATTTTTAGAATTTTAGGAGCACACCGAGCAACCAAATCTAGAAATTGCAAAACTTTAGAATTTAGGAAGGCACTAGGCAGCAGAATTTAGGATCCACAAAGATTGCATCAGGTAGGAAAATGCATAGAGCCAGCCCTGTGCATGATGCATTGTGATATTAGAAGATGAATCTTTTAAATTGTCAGTTTTCAATTTCTTTATTAATAGCAAAATTCCTTTCTATAAATGGCTGTCCACGAGATAAGATTAGAAGCATTTTTGATATTTTCCATGCTTATGTCTGTGAAAAGTAGAGAAAACAAAGGGATGAGACACATGTTAAGAAAAAGACTTCTAGTATCAGAAGTAAAACATTTAAATATCATGTTTTTTTGTTCTTCCGAAAATTCTCTAAAAGGTAAAAGTTCATCATTAACTTCTTATAAAATACATCCATTATGTGTTAATACCATGATGACATTTTCCTGGAATTTTCTACACTCGTGGGCTTATAAAATCTTGCCTTAAAATCCTTCTAAACTTTCCAAATTGCAATGTCTAAAATCCTAAAAAAAATTACCCGTACCAATTCTGTAACAGCAAAAAGCCAGAAATATGTTGGAAAAAAAAAAAAAAAAAAAAAAATCAGGAAAAAAAATGTAAAATTAATTTTATAGAGAAAACTGATGCATAATGAGACAATTACATGGGAAAAACTCTTACTATAAAAAATTTAAACAAAGGCATTTTTAATTAATTATGTAGTTATTTTGCTTTTGCTAAGAATTATTTTGTAAATTGTGCTAAAGTGCAATTTATGCATTTATTATCTTGTTTATTTTCCAGAATCAAAATATTGTATAATAAATCGCTAAAATGGAAAGTAATGCCACTTTATAATATGATAGCGAAAGATAAAAATGTTTCATTTTAATGTTATTCCTTGAATACAATTTCAGTATATTAGCATTATTTAAATGAAACTGATCAATGCTATGATGTTTTTAAAATAATATCGCTAAAAGATTCCCACATTTCCAAATTAAAAATTTTCTATAGAAACTGATCTTAAAATCACCAAATTTGGAACTGTTTAACAAAGAATTCACATTCTCTAAAATGAAAAGTTGTTTAAGAGCTCTTCATTTGAAATAATTTCGAAATGCTTACATTTTACTTCTTGCTCAGAAACTTGAGTATCCCATCATTTATATTAGAAATAGGAACAAATTATAATCCATTAACCTATTCAGCTGTTCAAAAGATAACTATATTTGTCAACGAATTGCAAAAAATATTTGTCCAAAATGTTAATTCACATTCAAAATGGCAGTCGTAAAAACAGACAGAAATTTCAGATGATTGAAATTAAGGACTTTTAAGGACCAAAAATTGATTCCAAAAAAACTTAAAGACTTTTAAGGATTCTTAAACTCTGTATGAACCCTGATCCAAGCAGTTTATTTTGAAGGTTATACTAAAATATTAACACAGTATTAAGATTTTCATGTTTATTCCTAAATTAAAAATAATTCGTAATTTCAAGTATTAATTTATTCGCTTCAAATGCAAATAAATGAGCAGAAGGGCGATAATACACAAAAGCTTTGCTAAATAATTTCTAATGAAATCTGTTTAAAAAATTGCACACAATAAAATTTTTACAGATCAATTAAAAAACATATATTTGAATAATCTATATGCAGATTTTTTTTTTTTATAACAGGCATGAAATCAAGTTAAAAAAAAACAAAAAGAGGGCAGGGAATTATGATGAAAGGTTAACACAGCTCTAAATTTTATGATAACATTTATTACACATTGGATAAAAAACACACACACACATGTAGTGGCGGTCAGGCCAGCTGCCATTTGTTGTCAAGTGGCATATGGCAATTACACATTTGGTGACAGTGTGGGGAGCAATTTGTTAAGACACACAATCACCTTTATTCATCCTTTAAAGCACTATGACAGCTTGCAGTTACGCAGACATTTTAATGATAGTTATACTGTCTATGCTATCAGGTCGCCCAGGTGCCATTTATCAGCAATATGATGCTTGTCCACATATTGTGCTGCTCTCCCAACAAAGGATATGATGTACTCCTGTGGCCTGCCAGGTCACCAGATCTCTCGCCAATACAGCACGTTTGGGACATGCTTGGAAGGCAACTGCAACCATCCTGGAATACTGCTTAATTAACTGCTCAGTTGCAAAGATTATGTCATGACTTTCTTCAGGGAGTCATAGCTAATAATAATTACTTGATTCAATGCCACCCTCTGTTTTGGTTTGTATAGTTGCCAGAGGTGCCTATACTACTTACTGATTTGTGATCTTTTTCATACCATAACTTCTTAATAAATTGATCACTTGTTCTGAATTCGTAATCTTTTGTTTATCTCCTCATACACTACATACATGTTAAGCTCTGTGATAGTAGTTTGTTTCTTTCTGGGTGCATATATTTTTTTGTGACAGTGAATAATTACACAATATTAAACAAAAAACTTAAAGCAATTTTGACTTTTTTGTTACTACTTGTCCACAGGTATTAAATCTCACATTAAAAAATGTCAAGTTTAATAAATGATATAATATATATAGCAGGACCAGCCAATCTATCTAGTGCAATATGCCTTTCAGTCAGTTCATTTTATTAGATTTTTCGATTACTACGAGGGTCTTTTTGAAATTTTTGAGATACACAAAGGTTTTTAAAGTTATGCTTTTGAAATTTTAGAAGTGTTCAAAGTAGTTTCCTCCAGCATTAATGCACTTCTGTATCAAAGATTAAATGCCTCGAGACATTCATTTTTTGGAATCAATGAAAAAAATGCATTTATAGCCTCATCAATCTCATCTTCGGAATGAAAACGATGTTTACGTAAATTATTTTTTAGATTAAAAAATAGCCAAAAGTCACACATAGCTAGGTGAACAGGGTGGATTTTCTATCACTTGTTTTTGTTCAAGAAACTCGACTGTCAATCTTGCTGAATGAGAAGATGAATTGTCATGATGGAGGATGAGTCCTCTACCATTCCCTTCTTGAAGAATTTCTGAAAGACACTTAGTGCTGTACCAGTTAGCTGTGATTAGCTTGTGTCTTCCAGTTTAATGGTTTTTCTGAAGAAAATGATATACATTACTACATTACGATTTTCATGGCACATTGTCTTTCATCATTGTGGGTGTGGGGAGGATCTTCAAAGACCCACACTTTACTTTCTTGACATATTGGAACATAATAAAATGATATGTATGTTTCATCACCAGTTGTGATTTTAGAAATAATAGGAATGCCACCCTCTTTAAGCAATTTAAGGGTTTCTTTGCTGATTCTGACACAGTGCTCTTTTTGGTGCTCAGTTAAATTATGGGGAACACCATGGTAAACTAATTTTTTCATATACAATTCTTCATGAATAATTTTATGTATGGTGGCATATCCAATATAAAGTTTCTTCTGTATCATTTGGAAGGTGCAACTCCAAGAATAGTTGGATAATCCTGATTCAGATTATTGTGCAAAGCACCTACAATCATAAATAATTTAAGTAACTAGTAGTTTCCAACAAATAAACTATCTGTATTATATTTTGAACCTCAACACATTGTAATTATTCACTAACCAACGAAGTTAAGCTGTCAAAAATACATAAAAATCAAGCATTAATTTTTCATTAATCACACAGCATTTCATGCAAAATAAAACATTTAGTCAATTTTGAAATAATCAGCAAATTATCTTAATAATACCTTTATTATTTTCGGCTTCTCCACTACTAGACAGTGACAATTCATTAATAGGACTCACAGTTCTAGGAGAATCTTCTTCAACATTTGAAAAGTCACCTAAAAGTGAAATGTAAGATTAGAAATGCTTGGTATTTTCAAATTCTATTTTTTTTAGAGATTATGAATTCATAAATACAGTAAATATTTTATATCATCTAGTTATTAATTATCCCTTTCTTTCCTAACAGAGAAACAACATGAATTCTAACATGGAAATGATTACAATGCTTCAATTTACAAATAGAATAATTTCTGTGAAAGATTTCTTGAGTTCAGATTCTTGAAAATTATCACCAATCTTTGAATTTTATCAGGGATTTCAAGTAAATAAATTTTCAGCAATAATTTAGAAATTAACAGTTGGAAGATAAATATGTCAATATAAACATAAAAAAATCTGATGTGTACACCACGTGACTTCCTTGTACGGAATATTAAATTATACGCATTTTTCTTGCATTTCATTTAAACTTATTAGATTGAATTAAACCTACTTTGCCAACAGCGCATAAACCACAATAGAATAAATGCATTCTTTAAAATTCACTTTGTTTACAATAGCGACACTCTGGCGCTAGGTTTACTTAACAGTATTATATTTCGTTCATATATAACTCAGAATGCACAAAATTTATATCATTTAAAGAATTATCTAATCGTTGCCACATGTTCTATTCAAATACTATAATAAAGCTAGAACTATGTATAAAAGAAATTAAGCAAACAAACAAAAAAGAAAGTTTTTCACAGACGATTGAGTAGTTCTCATTCAATTAATTCAGTTTTCACTTCAGGACAAGGCAAAAATACATAAAAACTCAAAATATCTGTAATTAAAATTATGAAGTAAATCTTAAACGCTTATTTCCTCGAAAAAATTCCAGAAAGGATAAAGCATGATTTAAATAATAAGCGAAGGCGTTATCTTTGTTGTTGCGAAGCTAAGTTTCTCTAGATTGGCAACAAATCCGCTACTCAGCTGTTTCAAATGTAAACAAGAGCAATGGCTGCCATCAAATTAGGCTTAGCGGCACTTAAACAATTTTAAAATTGTTGATAATTCTAAAAATATTGCATACAGATTTACTAATGGCATAAAACCCTTAACCGGAAGATAAAAACAACATAATTCAATCATTTTTAAAGCAAAATATGTACAATTTACAAACATATAAGAGTAAAGAAACTGAGATCACTGAGCCAGGTAAGAGTGGATATATTTATAAATATATTTATATACGTTTGGCGGGGCCTATTGAAACCAAAATACGAGGTGCACATCTACATGTTATAGTAGTCTTATATACAAAATTTCAACGTTGTGAGGCTACTCGTTTTTGAGTTATGCGAGATACGTACGTACATACGTTTGTACAGACGCCACGAAAAATTCTCTTCAGAATTCATTTTTAAGCAGTTTTTTAGTTTTTTTGGAGGAAAAGAGTCTTTTATTCTGTCCTTACGTACAGATATCACGCAAAAACGTCATTAAATTGCATTCAAAAGCGGTCAAAGTGAATATTTTCGTTGAAATATGCTGCCTGAAGCTTTTCACGATTACAATACTTCCTTTTTACTTCGTACAAGGAAGTAAAAAGAATAAACTTTATTCTGGCTTTAATTGCAACTGAAAAGATTCAATGCAATGCAAGAGAAAAATCTTTTATAGCTCTCTCTTCATTTGAAGCAAATATTCTGCAAATGTTCTTTTTATTAACAGAAAATGAAATACAAATAGAGAATACTCAGCTGTACACTGTGTGTTATGGTGATTTATGATATAATAATAATAAATAATGTTCATATTTTTGAGAAGGGATTAAAATAAAATTCATTAACTGAAACTCAGAGATTTAGATAAAAATGGAAAACTCAATGAATATTTATATTTTCTTGCAACGAAAACAACAGGTCTGTAAATTTCAAATTTAAAGCTTTCTTTAATTTTAAGAGAAAAAAATTATTTATTTTTATTGTTGTATAGTAAAAATTACTAACTTAGTCTTTTAAGAAAAACTTAAGTATTCTAGATTAGTAGTCACCATATTTAACAAGCATGTGAGCTAATTTAAGATTCTGAGATATTTGGTAAGCTAATCCACCTTTCACAGCAATTTTGTACATTAATACTAACTAATATTAAAACTTGCATACACGTATACTATATAAATATAAAATAAAGCATTATATTTCCAGTAAACTGTAAAATACATGCTGAAATTATTTATTAACAATCTGAGCAATATTTTACTATAATAAATAATTAAAAATTATATAAATGTTCCTAGCATAAATAGTACCTTTTTTTATTTAATTCTGCGATGCATATTCTGTAACAATATTTGGAATGCAATTATTAGAGCATCCCTTTCTGAACCTGTTTTTGTATCAGTTTTATGACAAATGAAAATAAAAGTAAGTACAAAAAAAGTGCTTTTTGATTGAACTGTATTGTGCTTATAGTGGGTTAGTTCTCGTTAAGCACTTCATGTACTGAGAACTGTAAAATGGCCTAGCGTGCAATACAGATAAGCTTACATAATGGAACGATTACTGAATTTCCTTGAAGCGGAAATCACTGATCTGAAGATGATTAGTGAGGATAGAGTTTCCTCATGGAAACTGAAACATGAAATTTGAACTTCTTCAGAAGATTCCAAGCTTTTATGAACCAAGAATTTCTGAAGTCGAAAGAAGAACATGTTAGCATTGTGCAGGATGTTACTAACCCTCCACTGGATAAACAATCTATAAAATTCCCTTCTCTCTCAAACATCAATCCCAAAATAAGGCATGCTGAAAGACCAGCAAAATCTGTAGATGAAATATCAAAATACAAAGCTCTCGATGATAGCTCTGATTCTGACAGAGCTCTTAAAGGTGATGTCACTAGATGCCCACACAAACAACCAATAAGAAAGCTGGCTTCCCAAATAGCAAAGGAGACTCCTGATTTGCAGAAGACTAATCACAAAACTTCAAAGAATACTGAACTGAAATTTATGCTAGAAGATGACCTCTACTGCACCTCCAGCCAATCAGATCACTGCAGGTTGGAAACCAACACCAATTATGATTAAAGACCCTAGAAACAGCTGGAACCAAATTCATATTCTGCTCACCAGACACAACTTTTCCCTACAAGATTTCTATGGGCAACAACTGAATGATGGCATAAAAATCCAGGCAAAAACACCCACCATCTATAGACAAATTACCAAACTCTCAACAGATGAAGGATTCCTCTACCACTGCTAAGACCTTCCTGAAAGCAAGCACATCAAGGCAATAATGTGAAGCCTGCTGGCGTACATGCAGCCTGACGAAATTTCAGAAGAACTCATATCTAAAATTTATTCTGTAATTACAGTAAACCAACTCGCTCGCAGACGAAATAGAGAAGTAAAGCTCTCGTTGTTTCTCGTCACGCTTGCCTGAGTGGAATGCATCAAACAATTTCAACATGAGCAATTCATTCTGGGAATGAAAATTAAAATCAAAAGCTATTGTGGACGTGCTGCGCCCCTGCAGTGTTACTTCTGTCAGGGGTTCTACCACTCACAAGCTGTCATCATGAACTGTGACGTGTAAAATGCGGAGAATTGCACGAGTCCTACAAATGCACTAAATAAAAGTGAACCTCCCAAATGTGCCAACTGCCAGGTATAAGGACATACAATAAACTTTCACGGTTGTGATAACTTCCCAAAGTAGAAAGTGACTGTGCTCCCCAAAACACATGCAGAATGAGTCGTAGTGAATAAATCATACTGTAGATTCATTATAATAATAAATTGTTATAAATCATACTGTAGTCATAGAAGTTATTTCATCTACGCTTGCCCCTGAAATCATAAATGAGGCTAAAAATGTGCTGAGTCAGCTTAAAACATTTATCTCCATCACAGTTTACACCAGTAGACTGTTAATGGATAATTACATACATGATTATTAACATAATCATCTACACCAGTGTTCCTATCCGTTTAGCAGTTTGGAATACAAATGGCATCAACAACAGACTGCAGGAGTTGCAGCACGTTTTTAATAAAAATGATATAAACATTGGCATTATAACAGAAACACACGCAAACGCATGCCAGAGACTCAGTATTCATAACATCAGCAACAGCATCAGCGACCACGGAGTAATGCTATATACTAAACAATGTGCTAATACATGCCTCATTAAGAGAAGCACTGATCTAAACTGTGAACTAATGATTGTGTGTATCTCCCTTCTTACATACAAAGAAATCCATTTTACGGTAATCTACAGTTCTCTGCAAAATATAATTACTGAACAACTTTTAAATACTATTCTGCTTCAGGATATTCCTACAATAGCTGAGGGAGATTTAAACTTGAAAAGTGTTGATTAGAATTGTTGTAGGAGCAATGCCAAAGGTAAAATTCTTCATGATTATATACCAAACCACCCTGTAGTCATTCATGCTTCTGAAGAACACATGTACACGACAGAAAGACTGGAACATTTGGGTATACTGGATTTAATTTTGTCCACAACTACTCCTATAACTACTCCTATGGCTTTGGAAGTGAAACATGTCATGTCATCAGATGACCTTCCTATTATTGCAATTCTAGGTGTACCAAAGTCTAATGACAGAATGCTACAAGAAAAATTACCAACTGGTTACTATTTGAAAATTTAATGAAAAATCCCACTCTGAATTTTCCTAATCTCCACAAAGAGTTTGGAATTGATTCAGCAATTAATTCTCTCACCTACAATATTCAGGAAGCCATCACTGTTGCAAGTGAGATTATTATCAGTAAAGAAAAAATTTACAGACTGCCAAGAAACATCCGCTTCTTAATGAAACAAAGAAGCTGGTTGCGGAAAACATATCATTTCACCTGGGACTCTCAGCTCAAATGGGAAATTAATAGACTCAATGACTCAATAAGGAAATTCAGAAGCTCATCAAACATCACAAGGAAGAGTTATGGCAGAGTAAAATGTTAAATCTTAATATATATGATGTAACCTCTGGGACGCTAATAAAAAATCTTAAGTTATGTAGCAAAATGAG